GGTGTACAAATTGGAGTGCTAGCTCAGCCTGCTGGCACTGAGTATGAAATATTCTGCAATGCCAACCTATAATTTTATTATAAAAATTGAAAAATATTCTCCAACCCTGACATAAAATTGTACCTGCAGTGCTAATTGTTAGGTTACTGGAATTGGACATCGCCGAGAAATATATTTACTCCTGTTTCTCAAAGGAAAAGAAAATTAGGAAAAAACAAAACAAAACTTTGATGTACACTGTAGTACATTACACACAGTATTGTATTTACTCTGAGAGTATAGTATCAACATTCCTTAGAAAGTCTGCATGATTACTTAAATCAAAATTTAGATTTGGATAATTTTCATCCCATCTATTTTTAAATTTAAGCTTTACTGAACTGAAGATGTGATCAACCATTGATAAAACATACTTCCTACATCATGTACATGAAATACAATTAACCTACATTCACAAAATCAGATATGCTTGATCAGACCATCTTTCTTTCATCTCTGTAATGTGTGTCACAAAAAAAGGCTCCTTTTGGGATAAAAAAGATTTATTTTACATGCTACACAAGGCTACATCATGAAATAATACAAAACTTTAAAAAGGTATACTTTCTGTCTTGAATTATTTAGAATAAAACATGAGCATGGGATTTGAGTTTGAGCATGAACATGGAGTAGTTTGGAAAGATATAAGGGGCCCTCAGGGCTTTAGGTGCATTCAGCATAAAAATATACCATTGAAATTTTGCAATTTTAACTCTTTCACCCCTAGGTAACTTTGATAGACTCTTCCATACATTTTTAGGTCACCTGAGCTTTAGCTCAAGTGACCTATTGCTATCCGTTTTCGTCCGTCGTCGTCCGTCGTCCGTCGTCCGTTAACATTTTACATTCCAAACTTAAAGTCAAGTTCTGCTAGGCCGATTGAACTGAAACTTTGTAGGAATGATCAGCTCATGGTCCTGACAAAGTGTTGTTATTTTTTGGGTCGATCAGAAATCCAATATGGCCGCCACGGCCGCCATTTTGAAAACCTATTTCAAACTTAAAGTTAAGTTCTGCTGGGCAGATTGAACTGAAAGTTGGTCGGAATGATCGCCTCATGGTCCTGACAAAGTTAAGTTAACATTATACTATTTTTTACTCAAATTGGTACAGATTTCAACAAAAAAAAAAATACTGTAGACTCAGGTGACCGTTAAGGCCCATGGGCCTCTTGTTTTCGAACTACATAGTAAGAATGATTTCATGAATAGGGGATTAAGGTCTCCATTTCTTCATTAAAGTGTCTTTGTTTTTCTGAATAGCACCAACTGGGTAATATGTAGCAGACATGTAATATATAGCAGACATGTCAGGTGTGCTTAACCAGAAAACACCACTATAACATGAGTAATACGTTTACAGTTTCCTTTATTGATCAAATTTCTGTTCAAATTAATTACCTCCACTTAAAGTTTTAATATAATTGTTTGCAAAAAATAATTACATTAATTTCTGAGGATGTAGTTACAACTATGAATATGAGTCATTGAACAGAACATTTAATTTTTAAATCTATTACCGGGGTAAAGGAGATGGCAAAATTAAAAATAAATTGAGAACTTACCATATTTGTTTGATTAACGCCCTGCTTCATTTACATTGGTATTAACCTTTCTTAAGACAACTCCTTGCTCGATTATTACATTTAATATGGTAATTTTCGAATATTTAGGTGAAGAACCTACAGAGTACAAATCATGCCAAACCTTAATTTGTAAATCTATTGTTTTGAAGCCATGCAGTTAAAAAACTTTGCAAGAATTTGAGGAACTTACCGTATCAATTTTATTAAAAGCCCTGCTTCATTTACATTGGTATTCTACCGCTTGCAAAGAGACAACATTGGTCGTTAATTACATCAGATATGGTAAGTGGTGAATATGTTAGTCAAGATTTTACATAATGTAAATGATGCCAAACCTTAGTGCATAACAACTTAACATACTTCTCACGTTAAAATACATTTATGCGTGATGTTATCTCAACTGTCTTACGGCACTTAAGCAGTGTCTTTTCACTCCAACTTTAGAGCGTTTTAAACCTGTTTAATTATAAAATGACCTACGTTTCTACATTTGAATGGTTTTCTTTAGTGGATACTTATGTTTGGTACTTAATAGGTATCGTAAACATGGAAATCATATAATTAAGATATTCCGGTTTGATTGGGTTTAAAATGTTGCAGGTAAAATACTATTGAGGAATTTTTTACGGAATTTTTTCGAGAAATTACTCGAAAAAGATTCAGTAAACACTTTCTGAAACCTTGCAGAACATTTATGAAGAAATGATTAAAATAAAAAAATAAAAAAACAACAAATTGTTCTAACAACAACAGGGCCAGCGGTATTCATCCTCGATATCCAGTTGTTATATATGCTCACTTATTCTCTCAGCACCCTTGGAATAAGTCATAGCAAAATTGAAGCTCAGTGTGTGCAACACATTGTGGATGAGACAAGAAAGCTAGTTTGATTCCTTTGATGTACATCAAAAGAGTCTCATGGTCGCATTACGGTAAAACTGACTGTCTTTGAAATCGAGCATCGCTCCTCTCTAATCTTCAATAGACAGGTAATATCCAGCCTAGTGATTGGTCAGTCTTTTTTACCTGACACAAATCAAATAGCTAGCCACGTGCCTTCCATTTGGCTATGACATATTCCATGGGTGTAGATCTAGAGAGCGTAAGTGAGCGTAACCCCTGGATATCGAGGCTGGCGGGGACTAAAACCCTGAGCCCCGTATCACAATGTGGTTACTTAAACTGACTGAGCTATCAGATCAGTAATAGTTCCCAATACAAAACAAAATTATGAGGAAATGACTGCATATATATGTATGAAATTCTCTGGTGTTTTGCCTGTCATTGGACAGGGATACTTAAAAGCAACTTCTTCTTCAGAACAATTTGGCTTCAAGTCGGCATATAAGGCTGATAGCCTCCGCTGGATGGAGGGCTATTAACTCATTCACCCCTGAATATCATAATGAACTATTCCAACAATGAATTGGAAGAGTTCAAATGTGTCTTCAGGGGTTATTAATGAGTTAAATTTGTGGAAAGAATTAAAGTAACAATACATAAACCCAGTATAACGGAGGTTAAATATTTAAAAGAAGAGATGACCAGACAAGATCTGAAATGGGGAATCTCGGCAGATTTAATCCATGAGTTTACATGTTTCTGCCCGCTTGGCGGGCTGTCTTGAGAACAATGTGCATGCAACTTTCAAAAGATACTTTGACCCTTTCACCCCTATGTAACTTTAGTAGACTCTACCATGCATTGATCTGGATGAGTCCATTATGGTCTACAGTGATGAAAGGGTTAAGTAGAAAAAGTGATGCCCTGCCTAGTGACGTCTACAACAGTAAAATATGAAAATGACATCATAGTATAATGGCAATGTCTGTGAAAAGATGGAATAAGATTTTGCGGCAGAATGTTTCGAACACAATGGGATATATCTAAAAATAATGTGGATTATAATGAACAGAGGTTAGATATGTTTAAAGATAAAACATCTTCTTTAAGAGAAGCATTGATCCTGGAGTCATAAATTTTGCCATATATAGCTTACATTGATGGAAAGATATCTCTTCTATCATAATGACCCTGGCTCAATTTTAACTCATTCACCCCTACATGTTTAAACTGGACTTGCCCAGTCTCTGATTTGGTAAGGTTCAAATGTGACTTTAGGGATACATAGGTGATATAAAAGAACTTTGAGTAGGTCATGGGCCGGGTTAAGTTTTCTACTTGCACTTTAATTATTGCAGTCAAGGACTGGCATGAGTATTTCAAAATTGGTTTGAAGTAGGACAATACCTTATGGCAAATATCCAAGGCTGCAACAGTGTTAAAACCTCTAAACATCTTCTTGAACTATAAATGATGGCATGATAGATTAATTGTACAAAGCATAGACTAGGGTTACCAGTTCAAGTGTATGGGTTGGAAACATAATGGGATATTAAGGATCTATATGCATGTATCACTGCCAAAAATCTTTACTATAATTTGAAATATTTTTATTGGCATGAGAATACTTTTATTAAATCATTTCTGCAAAGAAATACATAACTTGTAGAACTTTTATAGAAAAGAAAAGAAAAGGAGGATAGAAACAAAAAATAGAAAATCAACAACATGAGGGTTTTGAAAGTTAAAATGCAATTGGGCTCGAGCAGGATTTGAATCCTGGACCTCTGATCACAGACTTGGCATCTATTCAATTTATACTTGTTTATTTGAAATAAACTTTAGGGAAATTTATCTATAGGAAACTCAGGTGATCAATGAAGGCCTATATCACAGTGTCTTTTATATTTACCTTTGCGTTGCAATCCACTGTATGAACGTTACCAGCTGAACTGCATTTCATTTGAGTATGAAAGCAAAAACTCTCGTGACATAACATGTGGTTTAGTTATGACGTCATAGATTAACCTTGCTCAATGAGAGTCTTGTCGCTTCCCTTCGGAGCATGGAGAATGCCCCTGAGTCAAACGTTCAAAAGACTAGGGTTAATTATTGGCGCAAATTTGATTTAAATAGGCCTTTTTCCGTCAATGTCGTTTAAAGGACGATGCATATAAAAAAAGGCAGTAAATAAATAAATAATTTAAGAACAAATAGATATAACTAAACAATTGTTTTGCCTAGTGGGCTTCATCATGCGTGAAAATTTAAAAAATGCCGTTCAATCCCTATATAAACGTATAACTAACTGTTTTTCGTTAGCATACATTGGGTGGATTTGAATTGTATGTCAAATAGAGATCTTGGTGTCAATGCTGATTAATGTAACATTAGTAGATCACTATTTGAAGTGCTTTAAAACAAGACGACTACTGTATTTGGCTAAATGACCTGTGTCCTCGTCTATAAACTTAAGGAAAGTGAATGTTACTCCTCTGCCAACTTTGATATATGATTTTTGTTTGTTTTACAGTCACAAGTTAGAAGTTCTGTTGGATGATAACACAACGACCCGCAGGAACCGCTCCCGAAATTACCTGTCTCATGTAATCACGTAAGTACCGGTACAGAGAGCCGTTCCTAAAATAACCTGTCTCAAGTAATCATGCAAACACGGAGAAGCACTCCCGGAATTACCTGTCCCCAAGTAATCACGCAAACACGGAGAAGCACTCCCGGAATTACCTGTCCCCAAGTAATCACATAAGTAAAGAGAACCACTCCCAAAATTACCTGTCCCAAAGTAATCACATAAGTAAAGAGAACAGCTCCCAAAATTACCTGTCCCCAAGTAATCACATAAGTACCGGTACAGAGAGCCGTTCCTCTAATAACCTGTCCCAAGTAATCACGCAAACACGGAGAAGCACTCCCGGAATTACCTGTCCCAAGTAGTTACATAAGTTAACAGAGAACCACTCCCAAAGTTACCTGTCCCAAGTAATCACATAAATACAGAGAACCACTCCCAAAGTTACCTGTCCCAAGTAGTCACATAAGTACAGAGAACCACTCCCAAAGTTACCTGTCCCAAGTAATCACATAAGTACAGAGAATCGTTCCCGAAATCTCCTGTCCCAAGTAATCAAGTGACTACAGAGAACCACTCCCGACATTACCTGTCTCAAGTAATCACGTTAGTACAAAGAACTGTTTCAAAAAATTACCTGTCCCAAGTAATCACGTTAGTACAGAGAACTGTTCCCAAAAATTACCTGTCCCAAGTAATTACAAACTTTATGTTGTTTTTGGACGTCTATTTTGGTTTCTACCAAAAACAAACAACTGGAATTGTGGGTAGTGATGTACATTAATCACTTATATCTAGAAAACAAAAGTAGTTTTGGTATCTCACGAAGGCAGGAAAACAAAAGTTACTTTTGGTATCTCACGAAGGTAGGAAAACAAAAGTACTTTCAATATCTCACGAAGGTAGGATTTCCTGACGCCATTGGCAGACGGTAAGATCAACACAGGCAGGAATTTCTGCCCGCATTGTATGAAGAATTGAAAGAAATTAAGTTTGATATGTTCGATAAATTCCGTGTTGCAGTGGCCTATTATCATTTAGTATGCAAATTTTTAGAAGGAAAAATAATAGCCCATTCCCTGACTAATAATTATGCTACATTATAAGTTAGTGTTTCCCACACGCAGAAATATTTCCAATTTAAAGGTACGATTAATATTTTAGTGATCTATTACCGTGTTTATCTTGCAATAAGCCTAGGAGGCCAGCACATAATCTCTGACTCAAAAGTAGGGGGAGCTTAACTCATACACCTGAAGACACATTTGAACTCTTCCAATTCCTACAATTCAAAGGTTTGAATATAGTCAATTATGAAATCGCAGGGGTGAATGAGTTAAGGACCCCCGTACAAGCCCCAAAACATGTAACTAAGTGTTGGAAACTGTTTTTTCTGACATGACTTCAGCTTTGATAAATCATTTGTGAAAAGACATCAATAACTTGCGGGATTTTAATGATAAAAAATAAAGATGCAATAAAGAAAATATAATACACTGCAGTGGGAAAAAAACAGTGGGGCTAGACCGAGTTTCGAGCACTTGACTTCAGACTGTTAGCACTAACAAATAAATAACACTATCAAATAGCACTAACAAATTGAGCTACCTGGTCAACGGAAGTGTCCTGGTCAAACTTTGCTACAGTTATATCCAAATGGAAGCTAAAATTAAACATATGACGCCTGTGACCTCGAATGTTGAAAAATGACGTCAGATTGAACAGAGTTTATAGTCTTCCAACCCAGCAGGCTTCTAGCAAAATATCATTACCCTGGTCCTTTTGGTTATACAGAACAAATCATTTAAATATTTAAACATATACATGTATTGACCACTGTGACCTTGAATATAGGTGAAGGTCAGTCATTTGAACAAACTTGGTAGCCCTTCATCCTAGCATGTTAATGGCCAAATATCATCACCCTAGGCCTCTTGGTTATTCAGAATAAGTTGTTTAAATGTTTTTAACATATTTGACCCCAGTGACCTTGAATATGATTCAAAGTCATTTATTTGAACAAACTTGGTAGCCCTTCATCCCAGCATGTCACTGACCAAATATCATCACCCTAGGCCTTTCGGTTATTCAGAAGAAGTCGTTTAAAAGTTTTAGACATATTTGAGCCTGTCAGACCTTGAATATAAATCATGTTCAATTATTTGAACAAACTTGGTAGCCCTTCATTTCAGCATGTCACTGGCCAACTATCATCACTCTAGGCCATTGGGCCTTTTGTTTTTAAATTCTCCTTGAAATTTAGTTTTTCAAATTCTGTTTGAATTTTATTTGTATTGATGTTCTTAGTAGCCACTCTCAAGAAGAATTTACCCAGAATCAAATGATTTAGTCTGGCAGAGTTCTCAATAAAAGAAAAAGTATGCGAAATACTCCATTGGTTGGTTGCCATTAGTTACGGTATCGTGTTATCCTGTCCAGGAGAACTACCGAGACAGATGTCTTTTTTTGTTCATATGTGCGACATTCAATAATGCACAGCCGTTGTGTTACTATAGAAACCTGTTAGATAGCTGCACGCCTGTCTCAGGCTATCTTGTGATGGAGGACAACTGCAGCGTATCTTGTCCGGGCTGCAGGACGATAAACTTAAATTAAACTTTGACTAGGCCGGGAATCCTACATTTATAGCCAAATCATTTCATATTCATTAGAATAGATGAATATGTTCAGTAATGTTGAATTTCTCTCGAGAACTTTTGACGTTCTTGTCAATTTCTTTATCTCTGTAATTGGTCTTGTCTTGAATTTAGAATTTTTGGTGAAATTTATTCCAAGTTTGAGGAGTGTGCAGCATCTGTTGTACACTTAGTTACGATAACACGAAAATTCAATATGATCGTCTTTCTCACTGTCTTGACTCGAGGGTCTCTGGAGTCCCGTTATGGCCTCACCAGTTTTTCGTCTGTCCGAGAGACGTGTGGTTTCCGCTGGGCATAACTGTTTCCCGTTGGCACCATTTACTGGTGTTCAATAGAACTGGCAAGGAAAACTTAATTGAGTTGAAATACTGCTTTACATTAAATATTGAAAACCAGAATATTTTTCGTTCACCAGGGAATATGAATTGGATAATGGAGTTGGGAATTAGGTGTCCGACAAATTGTATAATTATGGAGTATAGACGTCACTGGGTGTTGTTTTGAGGAAATTACAATAAACATAAGGTAGTGTAATACTAGTAGTACTGGCTGTCCACAAAATTGAATGTATTCCATGTGTATGTAAGGGGCCTGTGAATTAACCCTTTCACCACTGTAGACCGTAATGAACTTATCCATATCCATGCATAGATTCCCCAACCTGACATGGAAGGGTATGGGGGTCACCTGCCCGACCATGTGGGTTTTTCTGGGTACTCCACTTTCATCTCATGTTAAGTCTCCCCTGTGTGCACTAACATGGAGCCAACAAGGGTGTTTTATTAGCTCACCTGGTCCAAAGGACCATGGTGAGCTTATGCCATACCACAGCGTCCGGCGTCCGGCGGTCTGTCCGTCAACCTTTCCTTTAAAACGCTACTAGTCATGAACGACTGAGCAGATTTTGACCAAATTTGGTCAAAGCATCCTTGGGGAAAGGGGAACAAATTTTGTATAAATGGTGGGTCTGGCCCCCCTGGGGGCTGAGGGGCGGGGCCAATAGGGGAAATATAGCAAATTCTTTAAAATCCTTCTTTTTCTATAGGAATGAAAGGATTTGTTCCATATTTGGTCTGAAGCATTCTTGGGTGAAGGGGAACCAATTTTGTATAAACCGTAGGTCTGGCCCCCGGGCTGAGGGCTGAGGGGCAGGGCAAAACAGGGAAAATATAACAAATTCTTTAAAATCCTTCTTTTTCTGTAGGAATGAAAGGATTTGTTCCATATTTGGTCTGAAGCATCCTTGGGAGAAGGGGAACCAATTTTGTATAATCCATGGGTGTGGCCCCACAGGGGCCTGAGGGGCGAGGCCCAATAGGGGAAACATAGCAAATTATTCTTTAAAATCCTTCTTCTTCCGTAGGAATAAAAGGATTTGGTCCATATTTAGTGTGGAGCATCCTTGGGTAAAGGGGAACAAATTTTGCATAAACAGTGGGTCTGGCCCCCCTGGGGTCTGAGGGGCGGGGCCCAATAGGGAAAATATTGCAAATTCTTTAAAATCCTTCTTCTTCTGTAGGAATGAAAGGATTTGTTCCATATTGGGCAGAAGCATCCTTGGGTTAAGGGGAACCAATTTTGTATAAATCGTGGGTGTGGCCCCCCAGGGGCCTGAGGGGCGGGGCCCAATAGGGGAAATATAGCAAATTCTTTAAAATCCTTCTTCATCTGTAGGAGTGAAAGGATTTGTTCCATATTTGGTCTGAAGCATCCTTTGGTGAAGTGGAACCAATTTTGTATAAACTGTGGGTCTGGCCCCCCCAGGGGCTTGAGGGGCCGGGCCCAATAGGGGAAACAGCAAATTATTCTTTAAAATCCTTCTTCTGTAGGAATGAAAGGATTTGTTCCATATTTGGTCAGAAGCATCCTTGGGTGAGGCAGCGAGGCGGGGCCCAATAGGGGAAATAGAGGTAAAACCTTTAAAATCCTTCTTCTACCATAGAGATTAAGGGATTTTATCCTAATTTAGTCTGGAGCATCAATGGGCCAAGGGGACTCAATTATGTATAAGCATGCAGTGGGTGTGGTCTCCCAAGGGGCAGAAGGACGGGGGGGCCCAATAGGAGAAATAGAGGTAAACCCTTTAAAATCCTTCTTCGTCCATCGGGATTGTGGGATTTTATCCTTATTTAGTCTGGAGCATCCTTGGGTCGAGGGGGCTCAATTTTGTATAATTGGTGGGTATGACCCCCTAGGTTGCATATAGGGGTGGGGCGCTGTTTGAAGTTTGTTCTCGCTATATCTCAAGTACTGGATGGATCTTTCTGAAATTTCATATGTACTTACAGCACCTACTTCATAACAATTATTTTATGGGCCTCTTGTTTAAGTTGATAGAAGTTATTTCATTATTATTGTCAAGTA